TGTAAAAGACTGCCGCTCCTTTTGGAGTACCTATCTGGACTCTGACCATGCCTTGGTCTGCGCCAATCTTGCCTTACTTTTCAGTGGACAACGAAGTGACCGCCATCAAAGGATTGATATTAGCAAGCTGAATGCAACTTCTGTTGCAAATAAGTATCGAACCGAGCTAGCCTCTAGGCTAGCTACCACTCCACCGAAAAGTATAGATGAGCATTGGTTGCAATTGCATGAAAATGGCGGGAACAGTCAGTTGTGGGTTTGCGAAACGTCCCGCTTTTAAGCACTGGGTTTCTTCTGGTTCCTTACAACTTATTGAAGCCCGTCGGTCTACTCCGGGTGACCGTGAGTTCGACCATAAACGAAGGATGTTACGTAAGGAAATTGGGCAAAGCTTGCGTAAGAACCGAGAAGCCTGGTGGTCGGAGCGTGCTAATGAGCTGGAAGAAGCAGCTGCATCTGGTAACTACCGGAAGCTCTTCCAGCTCATCCGAGCCACTGGCAGCAAGAAGTCTGGTGTGAGTGAAACAATCTGCGAGGATGATGGGATGCCAATCACTAACATCCATCGACGTCTTGGACGATGGGCAGAATTTTTCGAAGGGCAGTTCAACTGGCCTGCTGCTCCGGCAACATCGGTCAGACTGTCCTGCCCTCCATGGCCGTTGACGATTGATCCACCAAATGAGGCGGAAGCCCTCAAGGAAATCCAATTCTTGAAGCGCTACAAATCACCTGGCCCAGATGACTTACCTCCGGTTCTTTTTAAAAATGGTGGTGACTTTTTGACTAAGGAATTGACGGCGTTGTTTACAAAAGTCTGAAAGTTAGAGAGTGTACCAACGTCATGAAATGAGTCGATAGTTGTCCCTATCTTTAAAAACGGTTCATGTCGTTCCTACAACAACTATAGGGGGATAAGTCAACTTTCGAGTGCGTCCAAGCTATTGGCTTCCGTCGTACTTCGTAGGTTGTTCAACACCCGAGGAAGATTGACTCGCGAGGAGCAGGCTGGTTTTCCTTCTGGTCGAGGATGTATTGATCATATCTTCACCCTCTGCCAAATGTTAGGACACCGTCATATTTATCACCGGCCAACAATCGTAGTGTTTCTTGACATCAGTGCTGCCTTCGACTCATTGGACAGTACTATTCTCTGGGATTTTCTATTGAAGAAGGGTGTGCCTGAGAAGTTTATTAACATCTTAAAAGGCCTATATACAAACACCTCAGGCAGAGTGAGGGCATACATCCACCTTCCTCCATTCGAGCAGTGGAGTTAGACAGGATTGATCGATCTCACCATTCCTCTTCAACTTTGCCATCGATGACATTCTAGAAACAGCTCTGATGGATGTAAGTAATGGCGATGTGGATCTGTTGCCTGGAGAAAGACTACTCGACCTTGAGTATGCTGACAATAAATTTCTCTTTGTGCGACGATGCCCAAGCCATGCAATCCGCACTTAATCAGTTGGCAAATAGTGTCCGTAAGTATGGTATGTGCTTTGCACCTTCGAAGTGCAAAGTATTTCTACAAGACTGGTAGGATCGTAATCCTGTACTCACCCTGGATGGTGAGCACATAGAAGTAGTCGAGATGGTCGTGTATCTGGGTAGCTGCATAAGTGCTGGTGGTGGCGTGAGTGGTGAGATCAATGCACGTATAGTGAGATCCAGAGCGGCTTATGCCAATCTGGGCCATCTTGATGTTAGTTTGGCTGTAAAAGGTCGGATCTACAACGCGTCGGTGAAGGCAGTTTTGTTCTATGTTTGTGAAACCTGGCCTCTCGGAGTTGAGGATGTTAGACGGTTCTCTGTGTTCGATCATCGTTGTCGCCGAAGGATTACTGACATCCAATGGCAACACCATGTTAGTAGTGCAGAGGTACGGCATCATGTGTTTGGGCACAGAGATGATAATTCAATTGGTGTCACCATCTTGAAACACCGAATTTGGTGGCTTGGACATGTTCTACGAATGTCGTCCCAGAGAATTCCTCGTCGTGCATTATTTGCCGACTCTGGGACTGGTTGGAAAAAGCGGAGAGGTGGTCAGTGCATGACATGGTGTCGTGGTATGAAAGAAATCTGCAAAGGACTGGCTTGTGTTGGTCCTTCATGACTCCCTGGTTGGGGTCCAAGAGATGGTGCAACTCAGTAGCTAGAAACTTCATCAGATATGGCCCAGAATAGAAGCCGGTGGCGATCCTGCTGTAACCTTTTACTTTCTTCATAAAAAGTGGTTGTGTCTCCCTTAACTGAAAGATTTCTTCTGATTGTACCTTTCTGTTCCGCCATTTTTACCATTATTATTATTACACCAATCTCTTTTTTTCTGCTTCCCCTTAAATTCTCATTGTTTTGTCTGGCGCATTCTTGTACCAATATTTATATGTTCAAATAAATAAATAAAAAAACAAGATGGATTGGTCGAAACAAATATTTAAGTAAGGCATTCTATTCATGTACTTTGATTTCATTACTGCTGATGCAAAACAGGGCAAACTGAAGTAATGCATTTGTGGTCAAATATTATATTTTTATGACCGACTAGTTACTAGTAAGAGTTCGGATAATTTCGTAGTTAACAGTCAACAAGTTAACGACTATTTGAACTCAAAAGGTAAGTGAATAACAAGTTAAATTTTAAAGCAAAAAATGCTAGGTTCACATTCCAATACAATACTTTCAGTTGACAAAGCACAAGTAAAATGAAACGTTCATCTTACATTTCATCATTAGCTACAACTCGAAAAAAAAACCCATGGAAAAGTTACTCATATCATTTTCTTCTTAGCATATTTATTGTTAATATTAATTCTTACTGGACGATAGATAACATATTAGTAAAACAACGATACTTCAAAGTTCAAATAATAATAATAAAAGTTAAATGAGAAATAAACAAACAATAATAGTAACAACAATTCAAAGATAACTGAACAGAGAAAAAAATAACAAAAATAGGATATTAAAAGAAATATCACCGAGTACAACATCCACACACACACAGAGACGCTGATAAACAGGAACAAAAATAAACAATCACAAGAAATGCGAAATAAAAAAGAAGAGAGTAAATTGACTTGATTCACACAACAGAATCGTGCGGCGACACACATACAGATATATGGCGGTTGTGGTAACGTTGCATGTGATGAAAGCAAAATTTCATAATTATTTTTAAAATAAATATTCAGTTACGAAGCCAATATCATTGAAATTCAAGTTTAAGACAGATAGATGATATTTTTATTGGACAGGAAAAAAGCACATTTCAATTACCTTCAAATAAATTTTGCACATTTGTTGAATCTAAGCATGATTTACCATCAAGACGATTAACTATATGTTTTTGTCCGTTTAACTGAAATTTATGTAAATAGAAAAAGGGAATATCACAATAAATCAATTATCATTTTAGGGGCTGTGGAGATTATTAAGTTTTTGATTGAGATCATGAACCGATTGATGTTAGACCACCATTAAAAACCTGGAAGCACTGGACGTCCGCGTGCGAGACGGTAGGCCCTGGATTCGAGTCTCAAGAGCAGGATCGTGAATGTATACTGCTGAGGATTCCCACAATGGGACGAAGCGGTTGTCCAGTGCTTTCAGGTTTTCAATGGTGGTCTAACATCAATCGGTTCATGATCTCAATCAATAAATCAATTGTTAGATATAATATATTGTAGTAGTTGATAACATATCATCGAAAGGTAAAGTTTAAACTAATACTCTGTCATTACTGGTTATTAAAACAATCAACACATAAGATGGATAAATAACAACGTCTGAAGAGATCATCCCTTCTGCTTTAGATTTGAACACAGTGTGATTAAGCTTGCCTGATTGTACCGCGGTACAATAGTGCATCTTCAAACAATACTTATCTTTCCATAATAGAAGGAAGAGGGTTATAAAAGGTCAACACTTAGTGCAGTAGACCACATGGATTTTTGGTACAGGGAGTAAGGTCTGAAAAGCTAATACAGAGCTACTCACTAAAAATGTGTAACTAATCTCATTACATAGTCATTTCCCGGTCTGGAAATAAAAGGCTTTGGCATGGGGGAAAACGGTTGTTCACATACCTCCAATAATATTTAAGACAGTTAAACTTTACAATTGGTTCCCCGAAATATCAATGAAAAGATGAATGACGATTGTCACGAAGGTTACATCAATCAGTCGTTTGTGTTAGGATAACTCTTATATAACTCATATAGTTGTAACTTTACCAGTAGTCTAATCAAGTTTAATTTCTTCTAGGATCCTTTCATATAGAGGAAGCAATATAATTTTCATTTTTCGGTATTTAGGTACAGGTATCTGGGATTGACTCTAAACTAAATGAAATTAGTTGTATTAAGGGGTTTGGAGATGAAAATCATTGAATAAAAGTGGTGTATTATAAAGAGAAAACCATCCCCTTGCTTTCTTCCACCCATTCCCCGTCAAAAAAGAAATAACAAAATATAACAGAAATGTAGCTATAAATTGATTCTGAATAACAAAAAATAACTATTGTAAATAATCATCAAAACTATAAGAAAACAATCAGCCATATGAAACTAATTCTACTTACAAATGATAATGATAGTAATGTAGGCAACTCTTTAACTTGATAAAGTGGATGAATTCGAAATTTGTTATTAGAATCATTCCACCTTCATACAAAAAGAAATAAAAATATGTACGTTTACAAATTCTTTATTTATTTATTTATCTACAGTGACGATAAAATTTAAAGAAATATCAACCAATACTAAGTAAGGCAATGAATAGTTGACATACAAATCCGTTTATCTATTCTTTATATATATATATATATATATATATATATATATATATATATATATATATATATATATATATATATATATATATATTTGAATTGATAAAATGCAGTCTTCTGACCACTATAAGCAACAATGCGAGCATTTTCAGGATGCGATATTCCCCCTCGAAATGCAAAATGTTGCTTCAGGATTGGGTTGCATCGACACTCGAACTAATGATAGGGAGTGAAGTAGTTGAGCGTGTCGACCGCTTCACTTTTCTGAGAAGTCTCATCAGTCCTTGTGATCTGGTGTGTGACGAAACCTCAGCACGGATACAGAAGATTGACTAGCTTTTGCTAACTTGCGTCATTTATGGTGTAGGCGAGATATCCGTCTATCAACCAAAGGACGTGTTTACTGCACAGCAGTTCGTTTCGTCCTACTTTATGGCAGTGAAACATGGCCGTTAAGAGCAGGATATTCGTATGCTACTATTATTCGATCATAAGTGTCTTCTAAGCATTGCTCGCATATCCTGGGACCACCGAGTAAGTAATGCAGTTGTTAGGCAACGAGTACTAGGTAAGGATGACAAATCAATTGATGACGTAGTGAAACTTCGTCAGTTGAGATGGCTGAGACACGTGTTACGTATGCCCAAAAACCGACTGCCCCAAATCCTACATCTATACAACATAAACAATTAAAACAACGAAATAAACTTGGAATTAATCAATTAGTTATTGATTTGAATAGTGAATATATTGTTGCTGGTTGTGATGATTCTAAAATTTATTGTATAGAAATATCAACTGGTCAAGTATGTTATCTTTCAGTTCATTTTGATGTAACTCTATAATAATAGGAGTAGGTTGGAAGAAAGCTAGGGGCGGTCAGACCAAAACATGGCACAAGTCCATGAAGTCACTGACAAGTGGACTATGTGAGCCATGTTGCTAGGTGTAGACTAACTGGTTGGGGTCCGCGAGATGATAGCAACCGATGGTTAGAGATCTTGAATGACATGGTTGAAAATCGTTAGCAATGGTGCAGGTGCATACACTCTTTGTGTTCTCCTAAATTTTAATCTCCTGATTCCTTCTTGTCTCCTTTTTTTCTCTTCCCAAGTTTATTTCACTGTATTATACTCTTTAAGTAACATCTCCAAACACTAATCTTTCCGATTGCTGCTTATACTCTTATTACCTCTACAACTACGGGATTTGAATCGACCACTGCATCTGTGTGCTTATGTGGTATGGCAACTCGAACTGATGTACGTACGTACGAAGTTCTACGTTGGTACTGACTGACTGATAGGTGTCTTCGAAACATTGCTCGTATATCCTAGGACCATGGAGTAAGTAACGCAGCTGTTAGGAAACGGTCACTAGGTAAGGATGATAAATCAATTGATGAAATAGTAAAGCCTCATCAATTGAGATGGCTGGGACACCTGTTACGTATACCCAACCACCGACTGCCTCGACGTGCAATGTTTTATGGTGTAGGAGTAGGTTGGAAGAAAGCTAGGGGTGGACAGACCAAACATGGTACAAATCCATGAAGTCACTGACAAGTGGACTCAGCCATGTTGGTAGGTGTTGACTACCTGGTTGGGATCCGCGAGACGATAGCAACCAATGGTTAGAGACTTTGAATGACATGGCTCAAAATCGTTTGCAATGGCGCAGGTGCATCCAATGTTTGTGTTCTCTCAAATTCTAATCTACTGAATTCTTCATGTCCTTTTTTTCTTTTTCCCTTTCCAAATTTATTACACTGTTTTATACTCTTTAAATATCTTCAAACCCTAATCTTTCCAATTACTGCTTATAATCTTACTACCTCTACCACTGCGGGATTTGGATCTATAACTGCATCTATGTGCTAATGTGATGTGATATGGCAACTCGAACTGATGTACGTACTTATGAAGTTCCACGTTGTTACTGATTGACTGATTTGAATTGATCAAAGTTTCTCAATAACCCAATATGAATTATTTCCATATGAATGTCACTGCAGAGTGAATTTTATTTTTAGTAAAGTAATATTTGACTACTGTGATTTACATGATGACTTCTACAAACCACTTTGAAGCCATTGAAACCCTTCCAGAACTGATACCTAATGTTTTAAAACTGTAACATCCTGTAAGATTTTTACAATAATTTGAAATTTTATGTAACAACAATTAAAGTTTTAATCGAAAGGATGATTATTTTGTAATATGTTTAATTGGCGTGGGTTCGAAGTACAATTAATGTAAATCAATACAAAACAGTAAGTGAACTAAGGTTGTTTTTAAATAAAGTGAACGATTGGTTTCATGCCATATCAAATAGATTCAAGTTGGAAATATGGACTATTAGATGACCAATCATTGATTAAGGTAGTTGGGAGAAGTTAAGAGGCGGACAAATCAAATAACGACATAGTCCATAAAGCCATTGACTGTTGGTCTGAGCTATGTAAAGAGATGAATATCACCTGATCGGCGTCCGCGCGATGATCGTCATCAGTGGCTTAGGACTGGGTAACACGATTCAAAATCGTCCACAATTGTACAGATGCATTTACCGTCCATTTTTCCTCTGTATTTCAAATTTCTTAATAAATACATTTCCACGCTATGTTTTAAATAATATTTTCAGTCTTTTTTTATCATCGCTTTTATACTTCATCGATCTCTTTTGTTATCTTCACCTTGTTATGCTAATGTGATATGGGAATCTGTGAAAACAGACGTCTGTGTCAGGCTTTTATGTTAATATCTGTCTGTCTGTCTAGTCCTTGAAGTTGGATACTGTAATTATTGAACCATCGTTTCCTAAATAAAATTGCTTTATAAGACAACAATTTATAAATAATTCTCAAATTTTTTTTATAATTTCGAAAAATTATCAGTTAAGCTTTTTTCTTCTTTAAAAAAGTTCATTGATCCATTCAACTAAACCGAGAATGCTATGAAAAATCCGTCTTGATATAATGGACAAAACTGTACAACTCAGAGCTTGTATCTACCCACATAACCAAAAGGAATGTATTTTACTACTAAATCGTCAAACCAGAATCAAGCAGCTAACCGTTTCAAGTGTTCATTTTCGAATAACAAAGTTCAAATGAAAAACTATGACAAAATAATGGCGATTTCTTACTCATTTTCGTTGCCAACTTCAACCATCAAAAACAAATCACTATCTTTAGTAACTCCAATCGTACTTTCTAGAATAGATTCACCTATGAATATGATGAAAAAAAGAAAAAACACAAATATTACTGATAAAAGTCTAACATTTTAAACAAATTCTTTATAGGTGTTATCGAAACACTCCTCATGTATCGTGGACTAAACGACTGATGTAGGCGAACAAAATGAAACGGTTGATAAGACTGAGAATATGCGTCGAGTGAAGCGTCTGTATTAAGTGTAACATGTACCGGGCTGTCGCTTACTTTGAATAGAGATGCTAACTGAAGGGTAAAACTGGAAGAAAGCTAGAGGTAGCTAACTTTAAAAAGATTGAGAAATGTTGATAGATCTCAACTGCCCAATTGAAGTGCGTGCAATAACTCAGATTAGTAATTATAGACGCTGGATAGCATGTTTCAGAATTATTCAAACAGACATACATCTACTCAACACGTACCTTCGAACTGTAATGAGGTTCAATATTATTTGACACTATTTATTCCTTTAATTCATTCCTTGTTTCCGAGCTATTTTCTTTATTCTTTTGCATCATCATTCATACTAATACGACTCAACTGATTTAGTGTTCATCTCGTTAACTTTACCTCACTGAGAGGATTTAGTATAGAAACTTGAGTAAACACACGAACCATATCACAACTATGTACTGGAATTTGATTAATCACTTATTTACATCATAGATGATATTGATTAAGAAATAATAATGAGATTATCAGTTAGAATGTTAATATATCAAAAAAAATGTCGTTAAAAGAACGACTATAACAGAACAAAACCTTATGAGTTGTTTAAGGAAATCGGAACAAAGCATTTAAACAGAAAAATAAATACACCTATGACAGATAAAATAGAAAGTATCTTTGAATTAAATATTTAATATAAAACTTACATTTACAACAATCCTCCGACCAACTATCCCCAGTGTTCATATCAGTTGAACCAGAAAAATAAACGAACACATGACGCCCATTTTGATGAGCTAATTCAATTTGACTAGCAAGTTCATCAATAGATTGAACTAATAATTGTTCTATAGGCATATTACTATAAACAAATAAATAAGAAAAGGATAAGGTTGTTCTGTGTTTTCATATCTATCAATCGTGGTAATTTAAATAAACAAAAATACAGTAACAACAATGACATCACAAAAGAATGTACTATATATATGATAGCGGTCGTTACTTCCTGGTTGCACATACGATGAAACTATACTTCCTGAGGTGCCTGAAAAGGTAACTAGCTTAAGAACGATCTTGACAACCTGACAGGATGACCGTAATGTTTAAAGAACAACTGCTTTGGAAAAGTCGCACAGTCTCTTTTAAATAATTTTATATTAATTAATTCCATACTTTTAGGGTCTTATTAACAGAAATGGAAATCCGTGGGACAAGAACGAGCGTTACTTTTAGGGTCAACCATTTTTAGACTGTGGATGCAGGTTATCTGAAGGAAATAATTAACTCCACTTACATCCTACTATAATTAGCTGTACTGCTTCACCCTCGGGGCCTGTTGTTTTTCCTTTTACCGCTCTCCAACCAAAATAAAAGAGCCAATATTTAAGGCTATGTGGTCGTAATGATATGCAGACCCAGCCACCATATCAAGTTAACAACCACGGTTTCAATAGACGATGCTATGTATTAAAACAGAATTGTCGACCAGGAACTCATGTTTCTCGTGACTTACTGAAGATGTGAATCAGTAAATGATAATTTGATTAACATCATATCAATGGCAATTTAAAAACGGTTTCAAGCATTTATTTCATTCGACAAAGTATCTCTATTTTATGATAACTACACAAACTAAATATGTAAAAAATCAATTTTGTAAAATTTAGAGATAAGCAACGTATTTTATGAAGAGCTGTGCTTGAAAGTATATATGTTACTAATAGCAAGGAAGACAGTATTTATATACACACCCAAACTTCAATAAACTTTCAAAGAGGAACCAATGAAGTATAGACACCTAAAGAACTGAAAAGGAATGATCGAGATAAATAGATGTATAGCCAGGAAATCTACGTGAATATTTAAAGAAATAGTGTTAAACGGGCCATTTTAAGACGTTGATACAAATTGTTACGCAAGTCACCACTTATATAAATCTAATTATCAAAAGTAAACTTTATTTCGGAAAAAGCAGAACAGAAAATTGATGAGTGATTTAATATCAGAGAGAGAGAGAGAGGGAAGGAGAATGTACTATGTAACATTAATAGCGATAATAGTAGTTTGAAAAGTCTAAAGTTGACTTTGTTTCTAACGACACTTATAAAAAGGTAATCGAAACATAAAGCGCTTTACTTTATTCGTGATATTTTTAACTTTTAGTTAGAGATAAAAGTGAACAAGAAATCAGGTTGATCCTATTGAATGATTTCTAAATTCATAAACTACGTTTAATGATGCATATTAATCTATGCATTACTGTTTGACATTAGAAGTATTCTAACACAGTTCAGTTTATAGTGATAAACTAACAATCATCAATTAAAATTCTACTACGAAATATTTATTTATTTTAACACATAGATATTGGTACAAGGAGGCACCAAATAGACATGAGCCACACAGATCTCATTTGATAAGTGCGAGGGCTGTGACACTGCCCGGGCGCCCAAACCAAAGCAGGTAGTTTTCTTAGGGAGCCACACCCGGAGCCTTCGACACAAAGGTCTGATCCACAAGGCAGTGAAGCAACGTAAGGAGATGCAGTCCCATGTTGGCCGGTGACCAACGATTGGTTCATACGCCATTTGTTCACTCAGGATACTGGAGCCCATGTGCATCATTGGTTTGGAATGAGGGTTTTCCAACTCCCCTCGGTAAGCTCTCCGTGTCCACTGATCTAGTTAAAGCGCCGGACATTTGCTTTTCGTCCTCTCAATTTTGTGAACAACACCCCGAAATATTCATTATTGTAAAAACACAAAAAACGAAGTAGAACGAACAAAAAGGTTCATCAGACGATATTTCAAGATGAATATCCAATCAATAACAATAAGTAAACGACATAATACTTTTATTACTTAAAAACAAACTGATAGAACACCATGAACAATATTTGGTGTAACGAATATTCACTGAATACTGTTTTTATCGTTGTCAAAATAAGTAATTAAAATACTAATTACAATATGAAAATTAATAAATTAACGGAAAATGTTAATTTTACTCAGTCAGCTACAACGTAGGATCCAGGCATATATATGCATCAGTCTAAGTAGCCACACCTCATTAGCAAAACAAGATGAACAATAAATTCATATGGACAGTTCAATGGTAGTAAAAAAGATTGCATATAAAAATATAGTACAGGTAGAAAGAAAGATACAAACCAATTCCAATTTCACGGTTTAAGGGAGGACAACAAGTGTATAAACCTACGATACTGTGATTGATTTTGAGTCATGTCACCCAGATCCTTCAACCACTGTTTATGATAGTCGCGCGGACTCCAACCAAGCAGTCTACATCTACCAACATGGTTAAGACTAGAAGCTAATGACTTTAAAAATTGATGCCACGTTTTGGTTTGACCATCCCTGACTTCTAATTATTTTTAGTTAATCAGTAGTAAAAGTTAATTTTACTACTAAAAGTAATTTAAAAAAAACATGCTATAAAATTGAAGAAATAAGTAAACCTGTATGACAGTCTAACTGTACCCATTTTAACTTCATTAGAAAAAATAGTGTCAATGGAAGAATAACATAAGATCAGATGTTTATGTTCCAGTACAAATTATCAAACATCATATCAATGTATCGAAAGGAAAAGGCAAGATGAGAAACAATATCAAAAGTAATAATAGTCTAAACATGAGAATTACCAATATCAAAGATAGAAATGGTATTTAAATCAAGATTTAGATAAGCAAAAAATAAATGCAATTGATTCACAGAGAGATTTTGTATTATGAAACAGCATATCTAACCACTAATTACGAATACTAAGTGATCTCTACTCAGAAAACTCTTACTGACCAAAATAATTTAGATCAAAGGTCAATGACTTAGTGAACTAACCCCATATCTTGACTTATCCATCCTTACTGCTTTCCAACCTAAACACAAGTCGGAAAGTATTGCGCGTTTAAGCAGAGATCGGGCATATGTAATACGTAACCTAACCAATCTAATCAATGAAGGATTTTAGCCATATCACTGTTCTAGTATCATGCGCTTACTCCCAGAATCATTTATTTGATGGTTCAACCATATACCTCGAAGATAGCTATGATAGAATACTTCCAGTCCATGTTTATTGTCTACTTCAATAAGGAACATTTTACAATCTTAAAGTAATATAGAAGGGAATTCTATGAAACAACTCACCAGGGCTAATGAAAATTCGAAAATGATGTTTTACAAAAACTCACCAACATGCATATGAACAAATCATATTAGCATTTCAGAAAGATGAGAATCCCAAAATAAGTGAAGTTATCAATGAGCTGAACTACATCATTCACTATGGTGTTGCTAGGAACCGATGCTGAGCAGTAGTCCTGAAATAACACATTGCATTTGAAAGGAAAGCAATGTGGGTCACTACCAAGTGATTATTCAATTGTAAATACATTTAAGTCCTAAGAGAGGTCAGAAACGGCCCGGATGAGCAAGTATTAACGTCTCTGACTGTGAAGCTGGGTGACACAGGATTGAATCCGCCGAAGAGCAACAATTCCTGAAGATCACAGATACACCTTGGCGATGAGTGTTAAACAGCACGAAACCTAGGTCCAGGGTATCATGTCGACTACCTCTAACTACTGCCTTAAATCACAAACAAGTTTTAAAAGAGTTTGGAGAATTTTGATCAAGATATTTCTACACAAAGTACTAATTTTGAAGACTAAGTGTAGATTGGAAATAATTAGTAGCTTATTAACCGGTAAGCATTTTTAAACCTGTTTAGTCACATGATTTGTTTTACAATAACTCACTCACCAACATACATATGAACAAATCATATTAGCATTTTAGAAAGAAAATGAAACCATGAATTAAAAAAAATTGACAAAAAAAAGAGTTCAGTTTTTGCCCAACTACTAAAACTCAACGAGTTTACAAACATACACAGACAAACAGACAGACACATATAGGTATAGGTGAAAACATCACCGATCATCAGGAATTATGAGATTGAAAACAACAACATAACAGATTGAAGAAAAACAAAGTTCACAATTAAATGCATCATATATAATTTCTATTTTTATAAAATAACAGAGGTATATATATATATATATATATATATATATATATATATATATATATATATATATATGCTGTTAATAATAATAATTAAAAGTAACAAGGTTAGTATTGAACAATTTATAATTATCCTTCCTAATTATCAAAACAATTTGTTGTCATATGAATATAAATAAATGTAATATAGACAATATTTACTATGAATTAAATAAATAAATTAAGAAATAAATATTTATTTATGCTGTTCAAATGTAATGGCAATAGTCATAGTAATAACAGTGGTAATGATACTCCTGCTGCTGATGATGATGTACACACATAATTAGCTGAAATATTGGACAATTTTCAAGTACACTTTCAAGCGAAACTGATATGAGAGAAAATGATGAGGATGACTTTTTTTTTAAAAAAGCATTAATCATAAATGGACAATACTGATGTATTGTAGCACATATCAACAACCGGTTGACACACACACACACACAAATATATATATAAATATCATTAGAGTGAAACAATTGTTAACGATGAATAAGGGAAAAAACAAATCAATCAAATTGTGACAAAGTACAAAGATTCTCATATATATATATATATATATATATATATATATATATATATATATATATATGCAAAAGTGAACATTTAAATCATGACAATGTTTAAGAACTAAACAATATTAGGAAAATTATTATGCATGCAATTTATAATACAATATATATCATATATATGCATGTCTATTAGAATAATCTCTGAACATTGAAAAAGATAATGTTTTAAAATAAATTGAATAATACATCGAAGTAG